TGACAGTGAAGTCTAGATCTAAACAGATTTCCTTGCATAATTTAATTACTAGGACACTGCTAGGATTTAAATGTCAGATATGGCATACGTCACATATTCACAATTCCTGCAAAGTTCTACAGAATTAGATGTTGGCTGCAAATGGAACATAGTACTAAAAATCAGAATAGTTTCTCTTCGTCTCAACAATTAATGGAGCAATAATATAACATGACTGGCTTCTGTACTATGATACAGGTCAATAATTCTTTTATTTTAAAAACATATGGGAGCATATCTTCATTTCATTTTTACATTCCTTTAACAATTCAACATTATTAGCATTCAAAATATTGCTTGCGATACATAATATACATGTTTATGGTATATAATTAAACAGAGAATAAATCAACTAGCTAGACTTCAGGATAATGTATACAATTCTTTTCATTCAAAGATATACTTTGGGAATAATCAATTATACATGTAATTAGCATGGTCAATCCTAAATATATTCATTCCAAATTACCTACCATCTATCATTAAATCTGAAGTTGGCAAGTGAAAATATATCAACCTCCCCCCCCCCCCCCCCCCCCCCCCCAAAAAAAGGTCAAAGTATGATGATTATTATTCTTATTCATTGGGTTATTTTACTTTTTTCCTTGAAAGACATTGCTTTTACAAAAAAGCACTAACTGCTATCAATTGCAAACTTACATTATCTATATTATTATTATCATCATTATTATTATTATTATTATTATCATTAATATCATCATTATTATCATTATCATTATCATTATTGTTATTATTATTATTATTATAATTGTCATCATTATTGTTATCATTATCATTGTCATTATTATCATTATTAATATATTTATTTACTGTTCTTCTTCAGTGCGCATCCCACTATAATATGTCTCTATGGGCTTCTAAAAGAATTTGGTATTATTATATTCAATTATATTATTATTATTGATTGTATGAAACCTAATTTCTCAATTTTCACCATTGCAGCCCAATATTCTTGTTAGAACTTGCATATTTAACATGGAGAGAACCATCTATTTTGTACTTACCAAATTTTGTACAAGGGCTGTGGGCATACATCAAATTACAATAGCCTGTGTTTTTTCAATGATTATTTACCAATGGTATTGAACTATTTCTGCACCCCAAACCACAAGATATTGGGGGGGGGGGGGAGTTGCAAATCATCTGGGTACTTTTGCTCAAAGCACAAGATATGCTGATTTTTCTGGTTGGCTCAAAACTTTTCATACAAATAATAATAAAAATTATAAGTACTTTTTGCTCTTCCACTATTTTTCTAAAATAAATGGAAATCACGTATTTTAATCATCCGTGGAATGTACGCAAGTTAATATTCTGCTAAACAACTACATTCAGTACTAATATACAAATTGTCACATATACAATGTAAATTATTGCTTTCTTAATATTTCATCACATGCTACTGCAGCACTAGTCTTGATGGATATCTACACTCCTGCTCCTGGGGGTGTTTCACAAAGACTAAGATCGACTTAAGTTGGACACATGAACTATGGCAGGCCGTTCATGCCACTAGTTCCTCTAACCATTCCTGGCATTGGTTTCTCAAGGGATGTACAAATCATGGTCACAAATCTCAAAAATGTACATATTTTTTATATTCCATTATTGGAGGAAAAAATATTATCTAAAGATCATAATTGAGAGACCAATGGTGAGAGCGAACAGTGGCATGAATGGCCTGCCATAGTTCAACTCCAACTTAAGTCTATCTTAGTCTTTGTGAAACACCCCCCAGGGCCGGTATTCAATTCAATAATCACGTCAGAAATATCAGTGTTTTCCTCCGTTTCAAGAGAGCTAAAGCACTTTAATAGCCAACCTTCGTATATACACATGCAGCTTTGGGCTAGATATTTTAGGCTAAGTTTAAGACAGCTCAAAAGCAGCTTTGATTGGCTGGCATATGGTTTTCATATGCAGTTATCTTAAGCTGCACACAATTATAATATAAGAGTGTAAATTAACACGTTGTCTAAGGAAACCGAGTCGTTTGTGTACTAAGCCTATGGGAATAAGAGATTTGACTAGTCAACAGGTTAAATGCGAAACGTTCATTTTTTGATTTTGAGATTGAGCATGTGACGTCACAGGGCTTATCAGCAAGAACTTCGCCTCAACGTCAACTTGCTTAAAGCCCCACTATCCTACTTGTAGCTACTTGTTCCCTCTTTATAGAAAACTTCCCCAATCGGTGCCTGTTGGTCCCCCATGATCCTCTTTTTTATGTTAGTTGAGAGTTGAGTTAATGAGATAGCCACCTGCCAGTGACCTTGCTGTGTGGTCTAATCCCTTCTGGCCCCGTAGTATTGACGGTCTCTAAGTAAAATGCTCCGGTGCAATCCGAATACAAGTAACGACATAATATTTAGCCAACCCAAAGGCTAAGTAAAATTTAAATAGATTAGTGAACTGAATTGAATACGGCCCCTCGAAGGTTCAATGGTTATATACATTTTAGTCTTAAAATCTAGGCATACACATGTATAAACAGATGTGGCACATACAGGTTTCAGTTCGATTCCTTAAAGCTACAAGTTTCTATAGAAGCTACCAACCAGCCCTTGTCAATGACAAACAATATAAGGACCTACTTTACGAGGAAGCAGAAAATGCAGAACAAAATATCATAGGGGATATTTACTGCCCTCTAAATATTCTCAGAAAATCAAACAAAAAAGAACTCAACATATTTTTCAACAGCTACCATTTCAAAAGCCAGTTGATTACTTATTAACCATTCATCGGCTCAGGATTGACTGTTTGCTGACATTGTTTTGATGCTGTCATTAGAATGCTGTACACATAGCGTACTGAGAGAAATAGTTGTTACACGCATATGTATGTGATCAAAGTTCTATTCATCAAGCTCTAAATCGCTCCCTCCCACATACAATCGCTATGGGAGGGGACAATTCAGAACTCAATGAATTAACTTTTGATTGCTTACGTATGCGCGTGTTCACAACTATTTGTCTCAATACACTATGGGTGTACATCGCACACCACCTCAACCTTCCCAAATACACGTGCATGGAATCAAATGTACACTCAGGAGCATTGTCTAAGCATAAACTCATATTCTACTGATATAAAGATATAGGGTGGTATTCCGATAACGCGTACTAAGTTAAGCCTGGCTTAACTTATTCCACACTTTTATGGAGTGCCTGTTGCCAACTCATTTACCCTGTACAGATTATTTTAATCCAGCAATGAAAAGTGTCCAAAAAATTAATTTTGCAATGAAATGGGAACAAAAAGATAATATGAGTATGAACTGAACTTTGACAAAGTCTTTGGTAGATTATTTTTGTCATGCATATTGAAGGAGGAAGATGAAACCTAGCATTCCATAGAAGTGCAAACTAAATTTCTTGTTTAGTCTGGACTTATTCCTGGCTTAACTTATGAGAATACCACCCATACACTCTACTCTAGGGGGTTCTTCAGATATGATGCGATAGACTGCAGCAAAAATGGCCCCCACGTTTTGTTAAACGTGTAAATGAATGGCAGGTGCACGCAACAAGGGTCCTGCACGTCTTCACTGAGCTATGTGTTATAAGATACAGAAAGGTGAAGCGTATTCTACTCTTTGTATTATGACCGTGTTCTTATATCTTTGTCATGTACAGTATCGTCTTGTCCCGTTCTCGTCTCTCTTGGCATCCCCCTTTTCCCCCCTATTTTGAAGTTCCTTTTGTAGTTACAGACCTGTTAATTTATTACTCATTATTCTTAAGTATCATTTGAGGTGTTCACACTTGTACTAGCATAGCTTTTTAGTGGACCCCGCTGTTTCCAACATGTATTTCTACATTTGTGGTAAATGCTCATAATTGATAAATGTAATGTTTTGTTGGAAACATGAATAAATTGAATTGAATTTTGTGTCACAGAAAAAAACTGTTGTGGTTCTGTTGAGTCATATCTGAATGAGTTGTAAAGAATAGTACCACTATCACATTAACTATGAATAAAATAAGTAGAACAGAAAACTCATCTATGCATTATGAATATAAATACATATGAAAAACAAAACAAAATGTACTTTGTGGCTTGTAAATTTCTGTATTATTCTAATTTAACAATATTTGCAACATGGTTGCATGGCCATAGCTGATGAGTTGAATTTCTAAAAGAAAACGTAAGGAGCTACATTTGGTCTTGCTATATGACAGTACTATCAATCCATGTACTAAGGGTGTAATATTCACGCTGAGACTAATAAAACAAAAAGAATTATTGTTTTACGTTATCACTTATCAGGACTTTTCTTCCAAATATGCTATTCTTCCATCTTCTAAAAAAACAAAAAGAATTATTGATTTACTTTATCACTTATCAGGACCTTTCTTCCAAATGTGTTTTACTTCCATCTTCTAAAGTCTTATACATGAAGCTGTATTAGGTGTATCTTACTAGGTGTTCCCTTGTTCATACGGATGTCTGATTTTGGCGCTCCTTTCAGTAGCAATATCCAAAAAGTTATTCTTCGTTCTTTGGATGGGGCTTCCAAAGTCTTGGGATACCAAGCTGGAAAGGAGCACTTTTGTTACCGGTGTGTCATTGTTGCTAAGGATGTCTGTTGACTTGGTTGATAAATCCTTACGTACAGAGAAATTTGAAGGTGATCCTATAGCAGCAGTGAAGGCTACCAAAGTCTTAGAAATCTACAGTGTCGTGGTCGAGTGGTTTAAGGCGCTTGACTGGAGATGCGAAGGTCAAGGGTTTGAATCCTGATACGGCACTAATATCCTTTGGCAAGATATTAACCAGCAATTGCTACTTGCCACCCAGGTGATAAATGGGTACCCGGTAGGATGCGGCCGTCATTGTTGGTCAAACAGTTTTTGAGCGTCAAGTAACACCTGGCTGGAATGCTCCCCAGGGAGTGGAGATTGTGCACACATTGTGTGTGGGCAAGCACTGAATCCAATGACCAGGGTAATAGTATATTTAAAAAGCGCTTAGAAACATTGTATTAAGCGCTATATAAAAGCTAAATATTATATTACTACAGGGATATCCCGGTTGCTAGGTGTGCCTTTGTTGCTAATAGGTGCTGAATTCCTTATGTGACATTTCTGGAAAGTTATGCATTTTTCTAGTGATGGGGCTTCCACAGCCCAGGACACCAAGCCGAGTCTGTTGCTAGGTGTGTCCTTGTTGCTATGGCTGATTACCTCTGGCATTACTGGTGAGTTCTTCCAGCGAGAAAGTCTGAAAGGCGATTCTCTCGTAGGGATGGAGACTACCGCACTCATACAAGCAAGCAAACTTCATGGTGCTCTTCCCGGTGACCTTATCCTTGACCCTGTAGCAGGTGAGGTCGGAGTAGGCGCTGGGACCGGGGTTCAAGGAGAGCGGTGGACTCCAAGTCTGACAAGCATCGCGACTAAACCGCACCGACATGTTGACACGTGTGTTACGACTGGCTGGGTTGGAGAAGATGATCCAACGCTCTGCATCTCTCTCAAGCTTGGGAATGTGATCTGGAGGTTCAAAGCTCATCACGCTCGCCTGAAAGAAGAGGGAGATTAAAGATGAAGTTGAGTTCTGGGTATGCGATTGCATTGTAAAAGAAAAGCTGTGGAATGGATCAGAAAAAGTTGATCATGTAGCATGTAAGTATTGGTGTGTACTGCAAGGTTCTGGAGTCGTCAAAGTTATAATAACTTTGACCCAGTCTTAGTAAAGTAACAAGCACTGTACACAGAAAGATGTATATGGGACTTCAAAAAATGATGTCGGGCTACTAACCTTGATTTCCTCATCTTTCTATGCTCATTACTCAGCCAGTATACATTTTCTACCAAATTGTTTGGCAATTGACATTTATTCACATTCTTGAACATTCAGTGTAAGTTTTGCCTGATTCTGTGAGAATTCATTTTCTTTTTTTACCAGAACTCAAGTTTATCTTTAAAAATGATAATCCAAATTTTCCTCAATATCTAGGGACTTGTAAGTAAAAGGTTATGATCGATCATATCTCCTTCAATCCAATCCAATCCCAAAGATATTTGATATAGCGCCTTTTCCTTGCAGTTACACAGCACTGCACACACACTCCACAGTGTTTGAGCCACTTAAAAACAAAAGTTAGACACTTCTCCGAGATCAGTCAAGTATATGTAGGCTGGTAATGAAGTAATTTCTAGCAGAATAGATGTGACTCAAGTAATTTCAATCAGTCTTATCTTTACAGTAAATAGTATCAACAGTAACTTATTATAATTAATATAATGTCAAATAAAGATACAGTGATACACTAAATGTAACATGCGGTTGATTGTGATACAATTAGGATTTTCGACAATGATGCATTTTGCATTCCAGTCTTGTCCTTTTGAGCCACATTTTATTAAGCTACCTTAGATCTTAGTTGTAACCTTTTACTTTTACTTAAGTCCCTAGACATTGAGGAAATTTTGTATAACCAACACCAAAAAGCCAACAAAATTACTGACTACTTTTAGGGCACCACAAATATTAGAAATTTATATTTATGGATATTTCAGCCATCTCTTAATTGATTTTGATCAAATAAAGATGATTTGTCATTCAAGATATCTATTCATTCAAATTGGACAATTAGTTTTGTAATATCTCACAAAATAATTATTTTGTGTAGCGCCCTCTGCAACAAAACTCAACTACCGGTATCCCTTTTAATGTAAGCTAAACCTTCATTCAGATATATCAAAAAAGTTCTGTTAATTAACAAACATCTCCAACTTAACAGATATATCAAAAAAGTTCTGTTAATTAACAAACATCTCCAACTTAACAGATATATCAAAAAAGTTCTGTTAATTAACAAACATCTCCATGCATTTTATTTTCTGGGTGCATCTTTATTGCTACTTCATATCGCTCAGCTACCAGCTACCAAAAACTAAACTTAAAACTCCAAACTAGGTTTAGGTTAGGTTCATGAAGGCCATACCTGACACCCTCCGAAGTTCTTGATGGAAGGAATCCATCTTGAGAGGAAGTACCCAGGTTCTTCAAGGTCATCCGAGAGCTCGCCCATTGTGAATGATATACCCCCATCGATGCTATAAGACTCCTGCCGGGTGGCTTGAGGATCACAGGTTCTACTGTTGACATAAACATGGCCTTCTTCTAACTCTGCTGCCTGGAGGAATAACAAAAAAACACAAAAGAAAAATAACTTTGATATATCAAAACGACCCCCCCCCCCCTACGAGATGCAATGCATCCAACACTGTATTGGGGTGTTAAATGGGTACCTGGTAGGATGCAAAAGCCAATGTGCTTAGATTAGCAAGTGTGCGCTTGTAAAAATGACGTGTGGCTGGAATGCTCCCCAGGGAGTGGAGAATGTGCATACACTGTGTGCGCGGGTAAGCCCGAATCCGATGACCGGGGTAATTAATAATATGATTACAGGGCCCTCAGGGAGAACAGTGTGAATACTGATGAGGCTACCCTGGGTAAACAAGACATATTATTATTATTATGATCTAATACAGAGCAAACTTTGTGGCGTAGTGTCTCAAGAAGAAGAAGAACAACAACAACAACAACAAGTATAAGAAGTAGAAGGTGAAGAAGAAGCATAATTCAATACCAAGTCAATTGTGATTCAAATACATTTGGTTACATGCATATTTAAATAGACAATCGATTTGTAATTTCATACCTGTTTCTCTAAGATGGTTGTATTGTTTAAACAATAATTGTTCAAGAAATCTGATTATAATACTATTTTGATAAAATTTCCCAGAAATTATTACAAAATTTAATGACTTAAATGACATAACTAATTATGAGCTTTACAGGAACGGTTCATTATTATCATTATTATAATAAACTATAGAAGGATTATTATGATGCTTTGTGAACTAAAGATGGAATGAAATGAAATAACATAAAATTAAACAAAAATGTATCCACTGTATTCTAAGCGATAACAAACTCTTTAATATCCAAATATATGCATGTAGTTTAATGAACAAAGGATAGTGTACGTCATAGCGAGTGCCTTTGTGGTGAGGTTAATGCATTGCTGTACAGGGAATCATTTATTATAATCACGCCTTGGATTGAATCATAAAATTAGGGCATCAATCAAAAGAAAATTAGATCTTAAAGGTAATGGACATGGTTGGTAAATTCCAATGAAAGCCCTTAAAACACACCTATTCCAAATATTAAACAGGTAAAAGGAACTCAGCATTAGCCTATTTTCTCTTTGCTTTTTTTCACTTTACTTTCCAAGCGCATAGAGACATACTTAGGTAATGTGTTATGCGCTATACAGGAATGGTTTATTATTATCATTATCATATTATCATCATTATTAATATCATCATTATTACTGTTATTTTTTATTAATTTCGTTATCATTACTATCATTATTATTATTATCATTATTATCATCATCATTACTATTATTATTATCATCATTATTACTACTATTATTATCATTAATGAGTCAAAAACAGTATTTTCCTATATTTCCACCATTTGGGGTACACTTGAGTGGTTTAATAGACTGATATATGGTTATCACAACGTTCTTTTATTTATGGAAAATAAAATTCAAGTCCAATTACACTTGTATAGGGTTACTTGTACCAGAAAAAGCACATGTTATAGAGAATAAATACAATTTAATCCTGTGATAATCAAGTTAATCCTGTGATAATCGAGTTAATACTGCAACCCCATTTAATTTGCTTGATCCTAGGCAATATATTGCTTTTAATCACTCATGCGTGAAATATGCATCATATGAGTTGCATCAAATGAAAGAGGAGGATCTACGCTTTACAAATATGTGACATCTATTAATTATAATTGTGATTAAGTTATGATAAAACATTGATAATTCTCGGTTTCTTTTTTTCTGCGACGCACTGTACATTGCTTGATTGATGGTATATTTTAGCTGGTACCTTTCAAGACTACCTACTGTAGAGAAGCTGATCTGGTATTATAATTATAGCCTCAACAAAAATGAATAATAGATATTCACATGCGATCCGGTCCTTTGAGGAATCCAAACAATAATTGTATTTCATTCACTCTTGCATATTTTACAATGATTCCTCCGTGAATCCATCTGACTTGTAGTAGGGTTTATGAACAGAGAATTAATGCATTCTGATGAGCATCCCTAACAAAGTGGCCCCATTTTCTACCCGAGCTGATGGCAGCGTTCTAGTACGAGGCGGCTATAAATAACTATGCTACGTTCACAATTACAATACTTAGTAACTCTAGACCTTATTATAGTGCTATAATCAATCACTATGAATCATGATGATAAGCTAAATGACATACATGTAGGAATATATCATCTATTCACATAATTTATAGCCAGCATTCTCGGTTAGAAATGGCTTCTAATTAATGAAGAATTTCAAAAAAGTCTGAGTGAATCGGCAGGAATTACATTTCCATCTTCCACTGTTACAATCTTTGTATAAAATACCCTCTTGTTTAATAAATACCTATACTACCAGTATGTGAATATTCATATAAATTTACTTGCATATCAGGGGTGATAGTGAGCACTAAAAAAAAAATAGGTTTTTTGTTTTCCCCTCAACCACGCCCCCCTTGAGGAAAAAAGGAGAGGATTCGGGAGGAAAAAATGGCATCTAACAAAATAAAGAAAATTGGGAAAAAATAGGGCAAAATAGGGAAGAATACAGAAAATATGGGGGAATCAGGAAAATCAGGATAAAATAGGGAAGAAGAAAAAAATCTGGTAAAACAAAACATAACAAAACAAAATCTGGATTTTTTTTTTTTTTTTTTTTTTAATCGGGAAGAAAAAAAAAAAGGGAAAAAAATCGGGAAACCAATTTAAATCAGGTTTTTATCAGGCCTGGCATATACGCTTTTGTTTGTGCTGTCTCAGTGTACATAATTTTCATTGAAGTGTATTTTTTTCAATATTGAAACAAAAATGGTGGTCTTTATAGACAGGTGGTCACCAAAGCAAGTATGACTGTATAATGAAACAAAAAAAGGTTATTACTGAGGGAAGAAGTATGTTTTAAGAAACCTTTTGAAAAATGTAAGACAGCTTAATTCTCTGATGGAAAGTGGCATATATCGTTTGTTCCATGCTTTCGAAGCAGGCACTATAAAAATATTTTTCAATAGATGAAAGTATAGATTTGGGAATATGATCAGTTAATATTTGTCAGTTGTCAGTTTCTCTCGAAAAGCAATTTCACTTCAAGTGTACACATTTAATGTTGCCTTTAAGAGCTCTCGATGGGATGCACAAAGAAATCAATAATACCAAGCGATGACCCCCTCTCAGCTGTGGAATTGATGCACACAACCAATAAAATCATCTCATAAATACAATTTACCTCTTGTAAGGACACTACTAGAATATTGACTTGGTCAAAGTGACTTGATAGATTGAATTCATAACCTCACGATGACAACGAACATGGTGAAAGTGAGTCATGCATGAAGATAGGAAAACAAAGTTCATTTTAGATGCTGCTTATAAGTATCGGCTTGCATGGTGATGTAGATATACAGTAGGCTTGCGGGTGAACCATGTGAGAGAGAGGGAGGATTGAGGAGTCCTGAAAAGGACCACTCTTGACGACGGATAGTCAATCTGTTCGAAACGTCGAGCCACTCCCGCCACCCATCTTCTCCAAGCGCTATAGTTCTCCTTAGAACTATAAGCTAAGAAAGATAACCAACAGTCTTTTTCAAGACTACACCAACAGTCCTTTTTAGGACTACACACCCTCAAGAAAGATTCCAGAGAGTCCTTTTCAGGACTCCTCAATCCTCCTTGTCTCTCACATGGTGCACCCGCAAGCCTACTGTATAAAGTTCATTTTACAATGTACAGCCCCTCAGTAGTACAAGCAAAGCTTGATACATGTGAGGTATATTGAGTCATGCTTTGTTTCTATGTTACTTTGGACGAAAATAAATTCAATAGACAACAAAAGAAGGAAAGAAATGGGGAAAAAACTGCCATCACACTGGTTAAGAATTCAGGACATCATTTTGCAAAACCATCATATGTACACATTCACCACATATTGAATTTTAGTTAATACATGCATTTCAATGGGATGATGGTGAACTTGTACTAGCATGTAGGAGAGTTTTGTGAAAAGATGCCCTTGTTCATTCCTGTGTATTTGCACGATGACTGCAAACTTCACTGAAATTGTGAAAGTGTGCAACTTCTCCCAGATTCCTACTGATTCACTACATGGAGTTTTGTCTCTTGACTGATACAACCCCAACAGTAAAACCTTGTTCAGATATACATCATCTTTATTTTAATGAAGTGTAATACCCTTTACATTTGTGTATCATAAAACACATGGCTATGTGAATAAGGACATAGGACCTTTCTAGTATGCAGTTTCCACTCACTTTAAACAAAAAATGATTTTTTTTTTTTTTTTTTTTTTTCTTTCTTTTTTTTTCAGGAATCTGGTTGTTTTAATACTAACAAGCATTTATGCTTTCTTAGCAGTCAGGTAAAATAACAACCACTGAACTAAAACAAGCCTTTTGGCAAATGCTTCGCTAGCAGTTACGGTACTGTGATTTCTACACACAAAAATTGCACAGTAGTAATAACAAATTCTTAATTATAGCGTACCAATCAGCATATTACATATTTTGTTCTGTGTGTTGGGGATTCTGCGTGGTTGTGCAATATTACCAATTAGAGCTTCAAATATTACTTAATGAAAGAGGTTTCTGAGAATAACAACCTAATTTGTACCTCACTTTTTTAATGAACCATTTATGTTAATGAACATTTTTTCTCTCACTTTCACTTATAAATGAAAAGATGAATTATGAATTAAATTAAGCCAAGGTCACTATGATTACAAAATCAATTTGAAACAGATGGCTACTACTATCAAGAAATCAATAGCATTTATGGCCCTGAATCATAGAGAGAGAGAAATAGTCTCTCTGGAAATGTGTCAAAGAGAACAGGTTCTAAAATGCCCTTTGTTGCAATATGGTAACGCGTCAAACAGAGGGGGAAATCTGTTACAGCAATGTGCGAAACCCGGATGGGGGAAATAACACCTAGAGGTTTTAGATGATTTCCAAAATAAAGATTGGGCTGATCAATTAAAGTTCAAATGAAAGCTGCCTCCATACTGTGTTCTAAGAAAGAAAATTGATTAGATAGAAGATCTTTGGAGTCACCACATTTCTAGGTTATGTGTTAAAACACCCGGCCAGCATTTGGTGTTTCATAAGCCTCAAAGGCCCGTTCAGATATGACGCAATTACACCGCCACAAAAAAAGCGGCCACATTTCTTCTTTTGTGTGTGTCTAAATGAAAGGCACCTGGGTGCAACAAAGATCCTGGGCTCTGTGTTATATTATGTAGAAATGTTTTGTGGATTACACTTAAGTCATCACATTAAAAACAAGGAATATCTGAACAATGCCCAACTGCTGCTAATTCTCATGGGCTACTATTCACATGGACACATATTTCAGAAAGTCTGATTATAATCTGTTAGACAGTGTATTACCCAATGAGAATTCTATTAGTTTGTGATATTGTCCTCTATCTATCATTGCTAAACAAAACAACTATGAACAAAGTTTTTATAAATCCAGTTATCAAAAACTAAATAACTATAAACCAATTAACTATAAGCAAAGTTATTAAAACCTAGTAACTATAAACCAAATTATTATAAATAGACCTTACCTGGCATTCATTATTTAGTATGTCTACTCCATATTCAGCTTTATTCTGATGTATCTTTCCACTACCATCGTAGTTGTTGTTGGTAAATGTTTCATGGCGTTCATTCAGTATTGAATATATACGCCATAAATACGCCATAAATTTCCACTACCATCATTACGGAACAAAACCACTATAAACATTTAAACCAAGTTACTATAAACCAATTTATTTTAAACCAAGGTATTATAAAATAACTTTACCTGTTATTCATTAGTAACATCTACTCCTTATTCACTTTTAGCCAATGGTACATTTACTCTTACCATCATTACTAGACAAGACCAATATAAACATATTGACCAAGTTACTTTAAACCAAGTTACTATAAACCAAGTTATCAAAAGCCAACCTTACCTGACACTCGTTAGCTGGTATATCTACTCCATCTTCATCTTTAGCCATTGGTATATTTCCTCCTACAATCATTACTAAAACAAGATTAAAACCAAGCTACGATAAACCATGTAACCATAATCAAGTTATTTAAATAAACTAAGTTACTATTAACCAAGTTATCAAAAGCCAACCTTACCTGACACTCGTTAGCTGGTATATCTACTCCATCTTCATCTTTAGCCATTGGTATATTTCCTCCTACAATCATTACTAAAACAAGATTAAAACCAAGCTACGATAAACCATGTAACCATAATCAAGTTATTTAAATAAACTAAGTTACTATAAACCAAGTTATCAAATGCCAACCTTACCTGACACTCGTTAGCTGGTATATCTACTCCATCTTCATCTTTGGCCGGTGGTATTTTTCCTCCTACTTGCCAGGTATCTCCACCATCATCACTGAAGAGGACAATAGAACAATTCCTACTACCATGGAAACTATCAAAGAACTCCAATATTGACCACTTCAGCTCTGCTAACCAACCTGTACAGGATAACAAAACAAGAAGAAATGTAAGTAAAAACACTATGAACATGACGGACAAAGAATACTAATATTACATGTATGTAAAATCGTGTAGGGATATTCCTTTGTCTACCACAGCAATTGTTGAGGGTAGGATGAGGAACTGTATATTTTGTCCTCATTCTTTGTCCGTCATGTTCATAGTGAAACCTACATGTGAGCAATTCCATGAATTTTGATTTATGACAAACAACTCTAGAATCAGTATTTATTCCATCCCCTATGTCCAAGAAGGTTGAAATCAGGTTTACATGTATACGATAGAATAGTGGAATCATTTTCTACCATTAATTTTATGCTTGCGTGCCCCCTTTATGGGGAATCTAAAACTCTACACAAATTGACGGGAGGGACTAGACAATATTGATCACCTAAACTTGGCTGACCAACCTGCATGTAATAGAGGGAAAAGAGAGTGAATAGAAGTATAGCCTGTCAATAGATCTGTTTACTAAATTTTTTTAATTTACATGTATGGATGTTTTGGGAGACCTAGGACGAGTTTTTCCATTAACCTGTTATTGAATGAAGTACATGTACAACACTTGGAATCCAGTCTGCATATATCACTTGTTGCTATGTCAGGCAAGCGAGTAAGCTTTCAGGTTTTTTTTAATAAAAAAAGTATGCATACAATTTGAATATGTTAGTAAACCTGTCTATTGTACATTCACATTATCATAAATATTCTTAGTACTACATTGGAATACGTTAATATCTACCAAAGATTACACTTTTTCAAACACAAAGTACATGTACTAATAATACTATTAGTATACATGTACATTCAAACCTGCTTTAGTGACCACCTGTCTACAAAGACCACATTTTTTTGTTCCCCTTGAAATTGGTTTCTCGTTGAAACATGTACTAAAGAAGCTGTCTTCAAAGACTACTTTTTGTGTTTCCCTTGGGCGGTCACTTTAACTGGTTTGACTGTAGTATGTATATTTGTAGGAATAAATATACACAATTTTGACGTGCATGGACCATAATAATGAAGTCAAGTCCTGGGCTTTTCTTTGTGTGCCTTTGTCTCTGTTCTGTTGTAACTGCAGTATCAATACAGTGATGTACAATGTATCAACAATAACAGGGAATCATCTAATGAGAGCTAGAAGAACATTACCTTCCATGTAAATGTACTAAACAGTCAAACCTGTCAACCGCCCAAGGGAAACACAAAAAAGGTCTTTGTAGACAGGTGGTTTTGTAGACAGGTTCCTTTAGTACATGTTTCAATGAGAAACCATTTTCAAGGGAAACAAAAAATGTGCTTGTTGTAGACAAGTGGTCTTTGTAGACAGGTGGTCACTAAAGCAGGTTTGACTGTATATGTACAAGGATGGCTCAAGACCGAGGTACTTGGAGAGACACTTAAAGTAGAATTCTGATTGGGTCACTGAACCTGTCATAAACTGAGAGATCACTTTTGATGATGATGTGAAAGGAAACAAGTGAATGCCCTTCTTACTCTGAAGCAGATGAAAGGTAGGTCTTACCTGTAGCCCCTGGCTGAGGTTTCTCCTTCCAGTGTATGTTACCAGGGACGATGAGTCTACCAGACTTCAGCTGCAAACCATGGCCTGGACCTTCAAAGACAACAGCGATAGCAACATTTTATGGACCATCAGCAGCAGCAGCAACAACAGAAACAGCAACAAAAACAGCAGCATCATCATTACCACCATCATCACCAACATCAGAACAATCATCATCATCATCATCATCATCATCACAACCATCATCATCATCATCATCATCATCATCACCACCATCATCATCATCATCATCATCACCACCACAATCATCATCATCACTACCACCATCATCATCATCATCATCATCACTATCACCATTATCACTACCAGTACCACCATCATCATCACCACCACCATCATCATCATCACCATCATCATCATCACTACCACCATCATCATCATCATCATCATCATCACTATCACCATTATCACTACCAGTACCACCATCATCATCATCACCATTATCATGAGACCAACTCAATATGGTCTTACCGCTAGACCAACCCACTACTGTCTTACCGCTAGCCCAGCTCACTACGTTCTTACCGCTAGACCAATTCACTAGTCTTATGCTAGACCAACTCACTACCATCTTACCGCTAGACTAACTCACTACCATCTTACCGCTAGCCCAACTCACTACCGTCTTACCGCTAGCCCAACTCACTACGGTCTTACCGCTAGACCAACTCACTACGGTCTTACCGCTAGACCAACCCACTACGGTCTTACCGCTAGACCAACCCACTACGGTCTTACCGCTAGACCAACCCACTACGGTCTTACCGCTAGCCCAACTCACTACCGTCTTACCGCTAGCCCAACTCACTACGGTCTTACCGCTAGACCAACCCACTACGGTCTTACCCCTAGACCAACTCACTACGGTCTTACCTGATGCATAGATGAGAGGTTCTGGGTCCATCCTACTGAGCGTTAGACCATGTCCTCCTCCCATCCACCATCATCATCACCATCATTATTGTCACCATCACCATCATCATCATCATCATCACTACCACCATCATCACCACCATCAGAACAACCATCATCATTATCATCATCATCATCATCACAACCACCATCATCACCATTACCATCACAACCACCACCACCATCATCATCATCATCATCATCATCACCACCATCATCATCATCATCATCATCACCACCACAATCATCATCATCACTACCACCATCATCATCATCATCATCATCACTATCACCATTATCACTACCAGTACCACCATCATCATCACCACCACCATCATCATCATCACCATCATCATCATCACTACCACCATCATCATCATCATCATCATCATCACTATCACCATTATCACTACCAGTACCACCATCATCATCATCACCATTATCATGAGACCAACTCAATATGGTCTTACCGCTAGACCAACCCACTACTGTCTTACCGCTAGCCCAGCTCACTACGTTCTTACCGCTAGACCAATTCACTAGTCTTATGCTAGACCAACTCACTACCATCTTACCGCTAGACTAACTCACTACCATCTTACCGCTAGCCCAACTCACTACCGTCTTACCGCTAGCCCAACTCACTACGGTCTTACCGCTAGACCAACTCACTACGGTCTTACCGCTAGACCAACCCACTACGGTCTTACCGCTAGACCAACCCACTACGGTCTTACCGCTAGACCAACCCACTACGGTCTTACCGCTAGCCCAACTCACTACCGTCTTACCGCTAGCCCAACTCACTACGGTCTTACCGCTAGACCAACCCACTACGGTCTTACCCCTAGACCAACTCACTACGGTCTTACCTGATGCATAGATGAGAGGTTCTGGGTCCATCCTACTGAGCGTTAGACCATGTCCTCCTCCCATCCACCATCATCATCACCATCATTATTGTCACCATCACCATCATCATCATCATCACTACCACCATCATCACCACCATCAGAACAACCATCATCATTATCATCATCATCATCATCACAACCACCATCATCACCATTACCATCACAACCACCACCACCATCATCACCATTATCATGAGACCAACTCACTACGGTCTTACCGCTAGACCAACTCACTACGGTCTAATACCTGATGCATAGATGAGAGGTTCTGGGTCCATCCTACCGAGCGTTAGATTAGTGATATCCAGAGGCTCCGACCATGTCCTTCCTTCATCTACACTCTTTGTTACATACAGGTTCTGTTGGTATTTATCACCTCTGATAAGATCTGCTTCAGATAGCTCGATGGGGAATGTGATGAAGACAAGTATAATGGCATCCATGTCCGCATCTACGATAGGTACAGGGTTCATCGCCCTGGAAACAGTAAACAAAGTTCATAGTAAAAATATGTTAGTTTATATACCAGTAGCACAGCTATTACACCGGTATACTGAGGAGGCACGATAGCTCAGTTGGTAGAGCAGTGGTCTCGTAATCCGATGACCCGGGTTCAAAACCAAGACAATGCGCTAGTGCTCTTTGGTAAGGCATTAATTCTCATTACCAGGTCTCTCAGAGAGGACCTAAAGCCGTCGGTCCTCTGGTTGCTTACTAACAAGCATTTGTGCTTTCTTAGCAGTCAGGTAAAATAACCACCACCACTACTACACCACTGTGATTAATATACAAAGCATCATTTTATCATCCAAGCTTTAGCTGAGCCGCCTTGATAAGAGGCTTATAATTACATTCAAGGAGTTTCTTCATTCAAGGAATTATATCAATCTATCTTAGTAAAATTTGTCAATCTATTAAACTTCGTCTAATTCTCGTATATTTGTGGACATGTTTCCAGTTTGTGTGGTTTTCTGTTTTTTGATATTGTATATTTGTATTTTATGTGTTTTTATGGATTTGAATTGAAATAATACTTGAAACTTGAAACTATTTTTTTTAATTTTTTTTTTTAATTTTTTTTTTTAGGGGGGGGGGGGGGGTAATTATTTATAATTGGTCGTTACAATTAAAGTATTCCTCATCTCAATGTACAGCATTTCTATACCGTTATCTATATCTGCTAGTACATGTGTCTTTACTCTGTTCTTGAGATCCCTGCATAGCTCTCTATTTATATTTGTACATCTTTCCCCATTGATACTGAGTTCACTCTTCAAATCATTTGATGCATCGGTTTCTGTGACATTCATATTGCTACTCCTAATTCCTCAGCATACATGTACATCTCTCCCAGTGTAGGCATCTCATATCCCTCATGAATTGAACAGAAACTGACAAAACCTTCTAGTCATTAGGATCATCATCATCATCTCTCCCTCCCCCCCCCCCCCATCTCCCCCATCTCTCTCTCTCTCTCTCTCTCTGTCTCCCGATCTCTCGATCTCATCAACCCTTCCCCCCCCCCCTCTCTCTCTCTCTTACACCTCTCATCATCTCTCTCTCTCTCTCTCGATCTCCCTCTCTTTCCACCCATCCCCATCTCTTTCTCTCCCACCATCTCCTTCTCTCCCTCGCTCTTTCCACCTCTCTATTTCCATCTTTTTCTCTCTCCCCATCTCTCTTTCTCTCCATCTCTCTCTCTTTGCCTCTGCCTCTCTCTCTCTCTCTCTCCCTCCCCCTCTCTCTCTCTCTCTCTCTCTCTCTCTCTCTCCATCTCCATCTCTCTTTCTATCTACCCCTATCACTTTCTCTATTACCCCCCCCCCCCCCCCAAAAAAAAAAAAAAAAACCCGTCCCCGCTATCTCTCCCTAGCTCTCTATTCTAACCTCTTCAAATATGCATAACCCAATGTACCTTAATTCCCGCTACGCCTACTTATTGACTTTTATGCTCAAAAGTCAATACCAGGAATGCAAGAATTAGCCCAGAAATTGGAACTAAGTACCCGGGAGTTTCTGAGTGGCTTGACGTATAGATGATTTTAAAGGGACCCTTGTCATGATGAAATAATTCCCTTGTTTGCTCTATGGGTGCATTTATGCTCAATTTTGAAGGCAGAATGAGCGATTTGAAATGCACATCGTAAACGCTCATCGTAATCGCAGTTCCACGGTGTACTGTTTATGCTCACTTCTCTGGCTCTGCAGCTGGATTTGCAAACCTGCACTGAGCATGCTACAACTACGTTGCCCCTATTTAAACGTGTTTACAAATGATTGTGCGTTTATGCTTCCCCAGAATAGCAGATCCGAAACGCACCTTTCTGTAAGTTTACGATTGGCGATTACGATCTCTGTTTTTCGGTGATTCTACAACGATGAGAAAGGACGCAACCGTGTTTTAAACTAAACGCGTAACAAATGCCTCATTCTGGCCAAAAAAATTTGAGCATAAACGCACCCCATGATGCTCAGGGGCCAATCAATGATGTAATTTTATTAGGCTTGTGAGCCGGTTCGTCGGTCGTTAGGGGGATAATTCAATTCATGATTACGTGATGAGTGTTGAGAGCGTGTTTTGAAGGTTACTCCAGTCATGCGGACCATGATGAAATAATGCAGCAAAAATACACAGAAGTAGATATATTTTTAGTACTGCATGGAGAGCTGAAAAAAGGTTCCAGAAAATAAAACATAACAAAAATAAATAAATAAATAAATAAATAAATAAATAGAAAAAAGGAAGAAAAGATGATTTGGAACATGCCCTTTAAGGAAAAGAAATATCAAAGAAAGCACACATAACAAGAAATAAAGCTTGTTATTATAACAAGCCTGGTACTCCCTCCTCGTGCCTTTAACTCCCATCAAAAACATAATTTTCTGCAATTCCATGCATATTTTATTTGAGGGCGGGGAGGAGAATATCAGAAATGATAATCAAACAATTCGTCCCCATTTTCACGAAGTGACGGTAGTAAATGAAAATTACATACAATTTGCGTGCAGATTTTCCTCATTACCGTCACTTCGTGAAAATAGGAACAAATTTCCTAAAAATGTAGCTTCACTTTTTCTTTTCATAGTTGACAAATGACAATCCGTCAGGAGGGGGCAAGTTGCCCCTTGCCCCTTCCTTCAAATAGCTAATGCTCACCATACTCTAAATCACTTCTAACACAGACAGTCTATTATTATCCATCTATGCCTGAATGTACATGAATCAATCATTATATCAAGTGGCTTAACATTCCTTCCATACAATGCTCACATCCGTGCTAGACGCATAATTAAATACTCATAAATGCAGTCTGAAGTAGCATGCAGGCAGGGTATATTTAGGTGATATTTCAATGCGTCATATCATTTTGTATTAACCCTTCAAGACAAGATTTTCTGTTTGTTTGTTTATTTGGTTTTATTTCTGCATTTTTCAACATAAAAATACAATATGTACAAACTAGGAACATATATATATATATATATATATTAACAAAAATCAAAACACATATTATAATCGATTCATAATCTTGCTTGCTTGCTTAAGTCGGGTCAACTGCCCGAGCTGTGATGGCCTTCCACACATTCCTGTCCAGCATGGCTGCTTTTATCTCTGACAGTTCAAGTCCAGTATCCTTCTTGAGTAGGTCTGTATAGGTAAGATGAGGTCTTCCAGGTTTCTTCTTCCCGTGTTTAGGTTTCCAGAGTAAAAGCTGAGATATTGGTTCATTGATGTTCCTACAGCTGTGGCCTGCAAAACGTAGTCTTTTTTCCCTGATCTTTTCTGATACTTTTGGTAGATTCCCATACAGCTCCTTATTTGTCATATGCTGGCTCCAGTGCACGTTGAATGCTGTCCTAAGAAGTCTGGTGTAGCAACCATCTAATTCTTTTGCCAGCTTTGTTGTAACTGCCCATGCTTCGCAGCCGTATAGCAGCACAGATTCAACTGTAGCAACAAACAAACGCTGTTTGAACTGCCTAGGAAGAGAAGATTTCCAGATTCTTCAAAGCTTGCTACACGCTCTCCATGCTGCTGACTTACGAGCTTTCACATCTTTTTCTGTGCTCACCATCAGTGCTCCCAGGTACTTGAAATCAGGGACATTCTCCAACTGACATAATCTAAATCAATTAAATAAGTGTACCTTTCAAAAATACAGAGTTGACAAAATTATTTCAAAATTGAAAAAGCAGGAGAACGCCATTATTCCAATACCACAGATAAGAATCCTCATAACTCCTATGGCAGCAACATTTTTCTTGGAAACGTGTTCAAATGATAACTATAGTCTTTATCAAACTCTATTATAGGCATCTTCCAATATTGTGTCATATTGCATCACAGTGAAGTTAAAATTTGTATCAACAATTCCAAAATAAAAGACGGTCAAGGAGTAGACCATAAGCTGTATCTTCACTCAACTCTGCAACTCACAATGTTATATACATGTAGATCATATAGTTCATAGTTCATAAAGTCCATATAGTTATTTCATAGTTCATATATATGTCATACACAGCATTGCTAATTCATTGCTAAAGCGATATAACACAATTCTTCACGGTCTCCACGTACGATATACATGTACCACGGTCTCCAAACACGTGTACAGTATATCACGGTCTCCTAAACCGCCAAACGCTGAAGAGTGGTGCTAGCTTTATAAACTAACCAAATCATTTACAACTCAAGTTCATGGTTAGTGTTTTCAGTTTCTATTCTTTTGAAATGAAATTATTGCGGTTTTGACTCCTAAATAGCTCAAATAAAACGGTGTTTTATTTTTTGACAATTTAGCGATAAAGTTGCACAAGATTTCACGAGTTAGAACAAGAAGATAGTATTTTTGTGAATAAAAGATGTATTGGTCTGCATCTCCCATGATAAATTAATATTCATAATGCATAATTCATGTTGATGTAATTTTCTAAATATGTTCTGGGGAATCCCAGCCTAACAATAGAAATGTGGCGTTTATCCTTCTGACGACATTCGGCATTGTAATGCTACAACGTCATAATTCATTGTGTACACGTAATGGATTGGGAGTGTTTCACAAAGACTAAGGTCGAACCTAACTTATGACAGGCCTTTCATGCCTGAGATTTATCTCAAGGGCTAACTTTATTATGTGTTATTCTTCAAATTGGCAACAATTACAGTTTTCTTCTGTTGCCACATATTTGTAATAAGTCTTATCACTCTACAAACAATATCTACATGTATGTGTAAGAGAAAAAGTAAAAAATAATTGCCAATTTGTATTGAAAATAATGATTTTGAATCTCTCAATGTGTTGCCATTTTAAAGATTGACAACAAAAAAATCCTTTTTAAAATTGCTGGCATTTAACGTAAATTGGTCATGCAAGAAAAAATAATGCAGTGTGTGCAGAAGTTTTTGCTCTTTTACACATGCATCTAGGGGGTGTTTCACAAAGACGAAGATTGACTTTAAATTAGACTAACTATAT